ACTTTTGTTTTGTTTTTTTTCATCAATTCAATTTTTCGATCATACATCATTCTATCCAATTTAGTCATCCTATCGACCAGGTTTTCCTTCATTTTTACCTTTTCCTTTTTTTTTCTAATTTTTCGTAATATATACACATTTTGATCATTTTCATCTTACATTTCTTCATTTACCTTCTTTCAATTCTTCATCCTTTTTACCAATTTTGGTATTCTAAATTAAATTTGCATAAATTAAGATAGATTAAAAATCAAAGTTTAAGAAAGAAAAAGAAAAGAAAAAAAAGAGTAAGGTAAAAAAAAAAAAAAAAGGTAATGTGTTTATGCTTAAGTAAGACAGCTAATCGTATTGGTTATGCTGTACAAAAAAAATTTAAAATAACTATTAATACTGATGCTACAACAACAACAACAACAACAACAGCTACTACTACTACTACTACTACTACTACCACTACTACTACTACTAGTAATATTACGGATGTAATGGATGTAATTAATACAGAAATTAAATCAAAGAAACGCCGATATAACAAAGTAACGGTGAATTAATTATTTAATTTTTTTTTTTGATAATTTCAATCTATCTATCGATCTATCGATCTATCAGTCAATCAATCAATCAATCAATTCGTTTATCGGAAAAAAAATTCCATTTTTTGATAATTTCAATCTATCTATCGATCTATCAGTCAATCAATCAATCAATCAATCAATTCATTTATCAGAGAAAAAATGATTTCTTTTTAATTTCATTTCATTTATTTTTTTTATTAAAAAAATTTTTTTTTTTCGCAGAAATATGTGAAATTTAAAAATGAAATTTTTACATTTTATTCCATATTTTATTTTGTAAATATTTTTCCATTTATTTACCTATCTAAAATGTATTTTATTCCATTTTTGTTTAATTTAATTTTGAAAGTTGTAAAGTTTTAGTTTTTCCTCTTTTTTTGATGAAAATGAATGAAATTTTTAAAATGTTGCATTAAATTTAATTTCAAAATTGATGTCAAAAAATTTTGAATCTTTTTTTTTTCTACAAAAAAAATATGTAAAAGTCGAAAATGAAAATTTTGAAAGAGTGAAAAATGAAATTTCTTAAAATATTTTACTTACAATTTTTTCAAACATTCATTTCATCTCCTCAATACCATTATCATTCGTCATCTTCCATCAATTTTCATGTTTAAATTTAATTTTTTGCATAAATTTGAATAGATATAATAAACTAAAAGGAAAAAGAAATATTTATGCTTAAGTAAAACAGTTGATCATATTTTGCTTATCAAATTATCAATTATATCATACATTACCAATTAAATTACTTTTTTTTTTTAAAAAAGGTATAAGGAAAAAGATTTTTATAATTTGTCAAATTCCAAATAGTCATTAATTTTATTTAATAATATAAATGAAATAATTTTTAATCGAACAAATAGCTCTTTGTTAAACAATTTAAAACTAATTGATACGCAAAAAAACTTATTTGCATAATACAATAAATAGTCACCGTATATGCGAGAATTATTTCGAGAATGTTTGATTTGCATATTCTCTAATTTACATTAAATTTAGTAATTTTTATGTTGGTTAAAGAGGTTGGAAAGAATGAAATTAATGAATTAATGAAAAATTTCAAAATTTATTAATTTTGCTTTTTCTTTTTTTTTTGTTTAATTAATTAAAATAGTAACTGTTATAGTCTTTTTTTTTCAACCATCAGATCACTTTGGTTTTTTTTTTATTTTTTATTTGTTGTATAGACTAAAAAAAGGTTCAAAAATAATAAATTTTGTTTATTTGAAAATAAACTTTAATTAAAACTTTGAATGTATGATAAGAACAATACCTTTGCATATTTTTTCATTCATTTGTGCTTTTGCTCTTGCGGATTAAATCCTTTGTTTTTTTAATGACTACGCTGCGGATTGCGGATCACCGATGCGGAACTATTAGTTGTAAAGCATAGAAACATGAAAGAAGAATGGTTTTTCTTTTTTTTTTTTTTTTGTAATCCTAAACGACAAATTATATAATTAAATGTACTTTAAATCACTCATTTACTCTTTTTTTTTTCTGCATTCTTTGAATTATAATTGTTGAACAAAAATAAAAAAAATAAATATTTATTTAAAAATGATAAAAAAATTTTTCAAAAAATTGAAAGAAAAAACAAATCTTAAAATTATTTTTGATCAAAAATTGTTAAATTTAACATATTTCATTTACTCTTTCTTTATAATTTAACATATTTAATTTATTGAAAATTAATTTATTTACTAATTTAACAGATTTAATTTACTCTTCTTTATTCAATTTACTCTTCCTCAGTGATTTTTTTCCTTGTTTTCTTTATGAATTTTAATATTTAAAAAAGATAGTTTTTTTTTTTGCTATCATTTGAAAATATTTACTTCAAATTCAAATTCAATTAAATGTTGATTATATCTAGATTACACCACTAATTTTACGTTTAGTTTAAGAAAAAAAAAAACAATTGTTAATTATGCAAAAGAAGAGAGAAAAACAAAGTTTGCCTAATTTAAAAATTTTGAAATCTTAAATCACAATATGCATATACGATTGAATAATTCCTTTATAAAATTTAACTTACTTCAACTAAATTAAAATGTTTAGTAATTATAAAATTTATTGATTGATTGCTTTTTTTTTGAGAGAGAGAGAGAGAGAGAGAGAATTTATTTGGCATTTATAATATGCAAATTATGAATAGATGAATATATGTACAATATCATATATCAGTTTACATATTTACGTGTGCTTCTTATATTTGCTTAGCAAAGAATTTATGTAATTGCATTAAATTGTTAAATAATTTGAACGTTTGTTTACCAATCGTTTCGAATAAATTCAATTTAAAAAAAAAAAAAAAAAAATTCTTACCGTACATTGATCGGTTGTTGATTCATTCGTACAATAAAATGTCAAATCTCAAAATGAAATAACATTTTAAAAAAAAGTTAAATATTATTTTGGGCAAAAAATATATATAAACGAAGAAAAAAAAGAATTGGATTATGTTGTATTTTAACGTTAAAAATAATTTTATAACATTTCATTTTAATACTTTTATCATTTTTTGAAAATAAAATTAATAAGTGTCATTATAAAATTATAATATATTTTGTTCATAAAATTTCTTAATTTAAATACAATTTTGGAATGTAACATATTTGAGTGTAATATTTCATCAAACAATTTTTAGCAGAAAAATGAAAAAATTATTGCAATTTTTATAAATAATTACTATTTTGTTCCAAAAAATCGGCCAACAATTGTTATTATTATCATCATCGTTATGTTTATTATCATTAATATTATTACTATCATTATTATTACTATTATTATTATTATTATTATTATTATTGTTATTATTATTATTATTATTATTATTATTATTATTGTTATTATTATTATTACTATTATTATTATTATTATTATTATTATTATTATTATTATTAT